GTATATGCTGACACGCTTTAACCAACTGGCTTTACCTCTCAGATTCTAGAGGCCATTGATTTCACTCCCCCTATATTATTCAGGTACAGCATACACACTTGACACACATCAAGGCAATTCACCAATAGGGAAAATTTCCCGCCGATAAATAAACGCGAACTGTACTGGGTAAAGACAACTTGATTTCTTGCTTCGAACAAGGTATCCATTCGTAGAAGTCATATGATGATAAGACTATACATATATACATACACACATATATACACCCATACATACATACATACATTTATATATACATATAATAATCATAAACATTATGCGTAATATGTATTTAGTAAAATAAATTAAATTTAACTAAAATATGGAAGAAACATAGGAAGGAAGAAGAATAGGAAAGAAATTTGGAGCGGCTGAAATATCTATCGAAAGTAAACAATAATAATCATTTTGTCATTATTGCATCAGGTTTTCGTGAAAATTTGTTGGCACTAATCATCAGAGGTCAAAGTGCCGGCAGCCCCACCCCCTCCCCCCCCCCACACACACACATACAAACACAGTTTGCTGTAATCTCGAAAAGAAGCCAATCTCGAAAAGAAGTTCATCGGCTTATAATCAAGATAATATGAGCTTCTTTGGAGATAGTAGGCCTACTTACATTCAGCCTTACGTTTTCTTTGATTATGATTACGATAGCGTGTCGTTTAGGCCTCATAAATTATAGTTTATCACCCTATCAAGGAATAAAAACTGATGAGGGAGGGAGGGTTTTTTTTTTTTTTTTATTTATTTTTTTTTTTGCTAACCCCGCCCTCATTTTACCGATGTTCACAAGTAAATCAATGTTTAGGGACATATATAGAATTAAATTTATGTCTTTGTTGTACCAGTACACATATTTGCAAGAAATCCAGAGCTTTTCAAGTTAAAAAAGATGGAAAAAAGACCGTTTGAAATAAAAATATATGTTAATTGAAAAAAAAAATCAGATTTTCCCCAAAAAGTGATGAGGGAGAGGGTGATAAACTAATAATTTTTTTTAATGGAGCCTTAGCATAGTTAATATTTTTTTTTAATAAAACAGAATTCGAATTCCATAGTTGAAAAATATTTTATAGTAGAGATTCCAAAATATTTATTTTGAAAAGAAGTCCTCCTATTTAGTTTGCAAAATTAATCTCGAAAGTAGCCCATCTCGAAAAGAAGTCCAGGTTTTACGGATACTGGATCAGAAATCAGCTACTGCATAGATTCGCTGCTGGATATATATTAGCGCCCTCTCTAGTTCAATGCTGTTGCGCTTTGTTGTTGGACTGATCCATTGATAAAATGTACACTTGGCTACACTATCTTGCTTACAATATTTTTTCAGAGTGGAGCTGGAGAATGTTTGTTTGGTTTGAGTGGTAAGTGATATAATCGCAATTATTTTACTTCTCCTACAAAAATTCTTTAGAAATATATTCCGATTACTACTTACGCCCATGTATAAATGAATGGCTTTGGTTGAGTAAGAAGTGGCCATGATGCAAAGAGTGGCCCCAGGTTTTTTGTATGTAGGCACTGTACTTAGCGCTTTATGCATAAATTTACAATAGGCTGGCCGTTGGTCTTGACCAACTCTACTGTACGGTACGATTCTATCCGTAAACTTATTTTATGGAAATCGGCTTTTGTATCTTTGTTGAATAATGTTTTTCTGTACTTAAGCCTGGGTCCATTATGTATTGTGTACTTATTTATTCATCCATGCACAGTATCTTCTGTTTTGATAAATATTGATTTTTGAGAATGGCTCGAAGGAGGAGGTGAAGAAGGTGTGTTCGGGATTGAGAATGTATTGGCTGTTGACGTTTGTGGTTCATTTAAATATGTCAACTATTAAATAGAAGTAAATTTATAATTGTCAATTAATTTTGTTCATTTCCTTTACAATATATATAGGCCTATATATATA